TTTAAAATGGAGGGAGTATTTTAATAGGTGGTCAGCTTGATTCCTTGTTTGAAATAACTAGGTGATTTTCCCACATGTTGTTGCGGGATTTAAAGAGTAGTTTTAGACGAATTCTTTATCAAGGAAATTTTGCAAAAGCCAAATCGAATGCATTCGGGGGTGGGAACGGCTAAACGGGGAGGCGTGTTGCGTTTGGACTAGGTCTTACTACTCACCGCTTGGTCACTTTGAAGGGTGCTCGATGGAGTGTCTACACTGCCAGGACAACTCCTACAGGGCGTCATTGACGCCGCCGTGGCTTGGAGGGAAGCTGGGAATCCGTGGCCGACAACAATGTTGTGGATAATGCTGCTTGCAGTAGGCACATGTTTGAAAACTCAGTTGTAGTCGTAGGACTTCTCTTAGGGGAATGAAAACTCATCGTTGTGAGTACCTTGACAATAGGATGACTAATCCAGTTCTATAGAATAGAGGGAAATCAAATATGACATAAAACATTGAGAAATACGTACCAGAGTAAGAAGTTGTGCATTCTTTCTCCTTTCAAATTCTTCTGACAATGCATTTTGGACTATAATAAATACGAATTTGCAGCACAAATAAAAATTTATAATTAAGATTGTTATCTCAAGAGAACTAAAAAAGGATGCACATAGACTGTGAACCACATAGTAGAAGAAATATATTTGTAATTTCACCTAAGAACTGAAGAAATATAGATGTGACTTAAAGAAAATCTAAAAGAGCACGTACATACCTTTTGGGAGGAAGAGGAACTGCCAAATTCTTACCTCATCGCTGACTAACAGTTAGGGGCTATGTACAACGACAGTAACAACGTAGCCTTTTAGTTCTAAGTAAGTAGGGATAGATTAGAGTTGAAACCCACCAAGAATCCCAAGTCACGGTTCAGGCACTTCAATAATTGCTTTCCAATTACTTCTATTCAAACATAGATCTCTAGGTATATCACAAGCTTTCAAATCTCTCTTTATTGCCTCTCTCCATGTCAATTTCGGTCTTCGTCTACCTTTCCTCATATTATTAGCTTGGCTTAGGACTCCACAATGCACTAGTGTCTCTGGAGGTCTTCTTTGGACATGGCCAAACCACCTCAATCGATGTTGGACAAGTTTTTTTCTTCAATTGGTGCTACCTCTAGGCGATCACGTATATCATCGTTCCGAACTCGGTCCATTCTTGTGTGACTACAAATCCATCGCAACATACGCATTTCTGCATCATTCAGTTGTTGAACATGTCAGAATCTTTGTAGGCTAACATTCTGCTCCATACAATATAGTCGGTCCAATCGTCGTTCTATAGAACTTGCCTTTTAACTTTTGTGGTACCCTCTTGTCATAGAGAATGCCAGAAGCTTGTCGCCACTTGATCCACCCTGCTTTGATTCTATGACTAACGTCCGCATCAATATCTCCATCCATCTATAGCATCGATCTCAGATACCGAAAGGTATCTTTCTTAGGCACTACTTGACCTTTCAAACTCACATCTCTCTCCTCCTGTATAGCTCCGCCAAAGTCGCATCTCATGTATTCGGTTTTAGTTCTGCTCAATCTAAAACCTTTAAACTCAAGGGTCTGCCGCCATAACTCTAGTTTCCTATTTATTCCCGCCTGGCTTTCATCCACTAACACCACATCATTAGTGAACAACATACACCAAGGGATATCCCCTTTATGTTTCTGGTAACCTCATCTATTACCAAGGTAAAGAGATATGGGTTTAAGGCTGACCTTTGATGAAGTCCAATTTTAATCGAGAAGTAATATGTGTTACCATCGTTTGTTCGAACACTAGTCACAACATTGTTGTACATGTCCTTGATGAGGGTCACATACTTTGATGGGACTTTATGTTTGTCCAAAGCCCACCACATAATATTTCTTGGTATTTTATCATAAGTCTTCTCCAAGTCAATAAAAACCAAGTGGAGGTCCTTCTTCTGCTCTCTAAACCACTCCATAACTTGTCTTATTAAGAAGATTGTTTCTGTGGTTGACCTTTCGGGCATGAAACCAAATTGGTTTGTTGATATCTGCGTCGTTCCTCGCAGGTGCTGCTCGATGACTCTCTATCCCATAACTTCATAGTGTGGCTCATCAACTTAATTTCCTGATAATTAGTACAACTTTGGATATCTCCCTTGTTCTTGTAGATTGGTACCAATATGCTTCTTCTTCACTCCTCAGGCATCTTGTTCGATCAAAAGATATTGTTGAACATCTTGGTTAGCCATACTATAGCTATATCTCCGAGACATCTCCACACCTTGATTGGAATATCATAAGGGCCCATCGTTTTGCCTCTTTTCATCCTTTTCAAGGCTTCTCTGACCTTCGATTCTTGAATCCTTCGCACAAAGCACCTGTTAGTGTCATCAAACGAGTCGTCCAGCTGAACGGTGGTGTTCTCGTTCTCACCATTGAACAATTCATCACAATACTCTTGCCATCTATGTCTGATCTCATCCTCCTTCATCAAGAGTTGCTTTCTCTCATCCTTTATGCACTTGTCTTGGTTGAAGTCCCTTATCTTCTTATTGCGAGCCCTAGCCATCCTATAAATGTCTTTCTCTGCTTTCTTCATACTCAAACGTCGGTAAAGATCCTCATAGGCCCGCCCCTTTGCCTTACTCACCGCTCGTTTTGCAATCTTCTTTGTCACCTTCTACTTCTCTATGTTGTCTGCACACCTGTCATGATACAAGCGCTTATAGCACTCCTTTTCCTTAATATCCTTTTGCACATCTTTATTCCACCACAAGTGTCTTTCGAGTCGCATCCACTCCCGTTGGTCACTCCAAGCACCTCTGAAAGCAACCTTTCGAACGCATGTTTCCATCTTCTCCCACATGTTGTTTGCATCACCTTCATCCTTTTAAGAGCCCTCTTCAATGACCTTTTCCTTAAAGACCTTTGATGACTTCTCTTCTAATTTCCACCACTTTGTTCTAGCAACCCTAGCTTGTTTGTTCCCACGAGCTTGCACCAGAAAGCGGAAGTCAGCCATCACTAGCTTGTGTTGAGTCTTGAGCGACCACACATTCTCCAGGTATCACCTTACAGTCCACGCATGCTCGTTTATCTCTCCCTCTTGTAAGGACAAAGTCGATTTGACTAAAATACTGGCCGCTACTAAAGGTCACTAAATGGGACAGTCTCTTACGAAAAAAAGTGTTAGCTATTATCAGATCAAAAGCTATAGCAATAGCAAAGTCTAAGATTTCCTCTCCCTTCTGGTTCCTACTAACATATTCGAAACTCCCATGAACCGCCTCGAAATCTGCACTTAATGTACCTACATGGCCATTAATATCACCTCCTATAAAGAGCTTCTCGCTACTAGGGACAGCTCTAATCAAGCGATCTAAGTCTTTTTAGAAAAGCCGCTTAGCACTCTCATCATGGCCTACTTGGGGCATACACATTAATTATGTTTAAGACCATATCACTAATGACAAGTTTAATTAAGATGATCCTATCCCCTTGCCTTCTCACCTCCAACACACCATCCTTGAGGCTCTTATCAATCAAAACTCCTACTCCATTTTTATTTAAAGTTGTCCCTATGTACGAGAACTTAAAGTCGGTATTGTCCACCTCCTTCGCCTTTTGTCCCTTCCATTTAGTCTCTTGGACGCATAAGATATTTACACATCTCCTACGCTGTGTCCACTAACTCTCTTCACTTATCTATAAGGGACTCTACATTCCAGCTACCTAAAAGGATTCTAGTTGGCTCGACTAGCTTCATTACCCTTCGCACCCGCCGAGGTAGGTGTGAAGACCCTTGCTCATGTTGCACCACACCCGGACGCCGATGTGGCGCGCCACTAAGGATGCGATGACTCGATCCTTGCTCACTTGACATCGTGTCCTTGCTCATTTAACACCATACCCGGGTTCCGACCCGACCCTTACTCATTTAACACCATACCCGGGTTCCGACATGGCACGTCGCTAAGAGGGTTACGCCCCAACAGGATTCTTTTGGGTTTCATCTCTATTAAAGTGGCTAAGTTTTTACATTGACTCGCCGCACCTAACACAACCCTCCTCCTTTATCAGGGCTTGGGACCTGCTATGCTGGGACACCAAAGGCACCCCACCATAGGCGGAGTTAGTCAGGGGATCTATGTTCAAATAAAAAAAATTGTCAGGGGCTCTGATGAACACGGATGCCACAGCAGAAAAACTTTTTTTTTTGCTCTGATGACAAATCTTTGACGCAGCAACCGTGCAAGAATGATGGATGTGACATGAATCACCTCATACTGATACATATATAATGAAGGACCATGGGCCGGGGTTAATAGGAATGGACCCTAAAATCCAATCTGCGTTATGAAATGCCAACATTCTTTTGTGCGAATCAGTTACTGAATGCTATCTTGTGGAGAGTTCCGTTGCTGCAGGCAATAGTGAATTGCCATTGAAGGAGAGGATAGTGGGAGCCAGTGAAGGAGACGATAGTGGGAGGAGTTCTCTGAATAGTTCAGCGCTGAGAGGAGTTGCGTTTCGCTGCTGCAGGTTAATTTAAGAGGTAATCTTTGCATGCATACTTAGTGGAAGTAGTAGTGGAGGTGGATGCGTGGGTCAGGAGGGAACGATGACGTGGAGGGCTGTGGACTGAGAAAAATAACTAGTGGGGTTTTGCTTTATAAGAGTTTAAATATAGGCATGGACGTGAATGTGATTGCTCTTAATGATTAGGGGCTCAGGGCTCGTGCAGATATCAAACTAATGGCGACCTGCACAAACCAGCCAAGGTATCTACTTTTCAAATGCAGGTCATGAAAGAGCGCCACCCTTCACGGAGGAACCAACATGGCAGCAAACACACAGGACCCTCATTCCGGCAAGCCTTTCAGGAACAAGATGCTACACTGATGCATCATTACAGGCTTACAGCCTGACAGCAGCAACAACACAAGGAAGGCAGGGCTAGGAATCCTCATCCTACCTCAGCAGGAATCATCAAACTTGGACCGTTACATTCAGGCACAGCTTCAGCTTCCCTTCACAGACTGTCTTAATGGCAGAAGCAGCAGCCATCACCCTGGCTGCTTTGGTCGCAGAGAGACTCAACACCACCTCATACAACTTCTTCACAGATAACCAGATCATGGCAAACTTCTACAGCTCCACTGATCCTTCCAATCCACCTCACTGGAACATCAAAAGCATCACTGCTACCTTCTTGCAAGCTATGAAGGATTCCCAATTCAAGGTTCACAAAATCCCAAGGGCAATGAACTCCACGGCCAATGCTTTAGCTCATCAAGCTTTCAATTCTAATTCTGTATCTACTGTGTTTTCTTGTAATGCTGCCCATCATAGGCACCTTGATCAGTGCCCCATACAAATGGCACTCTCGACTGTAAGCTGGAAGCCATGAACATTCTAGTACATGTAAGATGATGTTAAATTAATGTATGCAAAAAAGGCGAGCGAACGCGATATGCCTATATGCTCCTTCCGCACCGTTTTCAGCTATAGTTCCTTCCTCTCCGCACCGTTTTCAGCTAATGTGCCGAGAGCATCAGATTTGTTCTCTTCTCTTTTCTTTCTTCTCTCTTCTATTCTCTTGTCGGAAGAATATACCCAGTAGCCAGTAGGGCGGGTTTCCAGTTTCCACACGAGCACACCGCCGGGCGCCGGCTGTCCAGTCCAGGGGACACCCTTCCTGTCACACCTTTTCTGGAAGCAGCAACGTCAGACTACGAATATTATCCTTCAAGTTCCAACCCACCACAATTGTTTTTGTGCAAGCAAACAATCCCAGAGCAGCAGCAGAGTAGTCCAACCAACACAAAAAAAAATTTGTGCAAGCAAGCAATCCCAGAGCAGAGTAGCAGACATGAACATCATGGTGCAAGGTAGCTTCATGGTGCATAGAAATGGGACACAGCATCAATGCATCATCTGATATAAATATCGATCTTCATCGAAAACAATGGAAACAAAATAGGAGCAGAGTACCACTAATCCATCAGTATTATCAGACTTCGCATGATTGTACTTTAACTACATCCAAACATCCGAAGAACAGAGCTGTCAAAAATACTACAATATCCAACATCCACATTAGTACACGACTACAACTGTAAAACAACGACACCATCACATTTACAATGAACCACATAGCCATCCAAAACTTAAGGGTACAGTTGTTGATGATATAATCAAGTCAACAACATTTATGCGTTCAACTAGTACAATCTGAATGAATCAGGATCGCAAAGAGCGACTAACAGAGGAAGAGGATAACGGTTCCTAGCTTACGAAAAAACTGAGTTCAGCCTGCCCTGTCGAACTTTGAGTCACAGAGCTAACTAACAGAGCACACATTACAACAGAATGGTGCTCTGCACAACTAAGCAAACATTTTAGCAGGCTGCCACTCAGCAGAACTTCCAACGATTGTTGCAGTTCACACATGTGACAAATGTCGTCATCGGTTCATCAGCACTCCGAGTCTGCAGCTGATAGTAAGTTGTCTTCCGCTGACCACATCTGCCACACTTGAACTGATCCGTCGTTGCCTTCGGTGCTCCTCCCCGCTCACACTCAAACAGAGCCTTCTCCTTAATCTGCATATTCTCTTGCTTCCTTGCATCACTAGCCATCTCATCAGGAGATATGTCTGGAAGCCCCTCTGGCGTCACTTCACCAATAAGAACCCTTCTCCGGAAATCAGTGTTGTTTTCAGCCCTCAGGTTGAACATGATTGACCTATATTTTGTCTTATGAGCCCCGGTGGAACGTCCAAGCCTCTCAAATAGTGCAGACTCTACTTTCACAGCAACTCTGAATGGGTCACATGCATCAACTTCATCCAAGATGTTTCTCACTTCATCTCGGTCATCATTACTAGTCTCTCTGGAAACCTTTGCAAAAGCTTCAGCAAGTAGTTCCCGGATTTTATCTCGGGTAGGATCATTGCATTTGACAAGAGATGTAAGCTTTGGGGGACCGCTGGGGGTGGATGCTGGCTTCTTTGCATCAGGAGTTCTACTGACTTCTTTGGATACCCTTTCAACCTTCACAGATTGAGTTCTGGAACCATTGCTAGCGGTCTTCTCAACTTTGACATTGTCAGGCTTCTGACTCCTAGCATCCACATCTCTTTTCTCAACCTTCATGCTTGTTGATGCAGAATTCTTTTCAACCTTCATGGGCCTCACCTTCTCAACCTTTCCAGAAGAGTCACTTGATCTTTCATTCTCTGAGAAATATATTGCAGAGGGTATGTTAGTAATTGAGGTTGTGTCCGTCTTAAACTTGACATAACCCCGCTGCCAGCCCAAGTTTAATAGGGCACTTCCAACCCCCCGCCGGTGCCGCCGCTCAGTTGCGCATCTCCATGGATCCCGCACTGAAGACCTCGGGCATCTAGTGTGTTTGGGCCGCCGCCGCCATGTACAAGTAAAGGAGGTGCTTGTGTTCATGTCGCTACTAATCACGGCACCCGTGCCGGTTACGGACTACTATGGTGCAGCTGAGGACAGCCTGGCCCAACGGCACATCTGCTGCCAGGCCAAGCGCACGGCGGCCAGCGGCCTGCTCGCCCGGTGGCGAGCTTCTACTGCCGGCTGCATAGGGAAGAAGAGCAAGGACAACATCAGCTTGGGAGGCACTGGGAATAGCACGTAATCGACCGGGCAGGTGCGGCTGCTGGTGGCCGTGGCCATCCAGCGAGAGATAGCACGCGCGTGACACTTTCCATGGTCAGAGCTTCGACAGGTGAGAGAAGACCATGATCCAAGAGACGGAGGGGAAGAAAAGGACTAAAATGACGGATTTACTTTTATTCGAAAATAAAATATACAATAAAAAATAGATCTTGTCCCACATATTTTGGTAATAGCCCCACCTAATTTAGTACTAACCCCACCTGTTTGGTACCTCTAGGTACTTTCAGTTGGGTACCTTCTATTTTTCCACCGTCCGATCTCACCCAATGAATGACCCATGTTTTTTCCGACCATTGTAAAATTTCTCTTATTATAGATATAGAGCAAAGGATCTACAAAATTGACAACACTAACCTTTCCTTCCTCCCCTTCTATATCCATGGTAATTTGAGTGCACAAATCTATCCAGTAGCACTTGCGAACTAAGCACAACGCAGAATTCAGCATAGTCTGAAGATGCCTCCCTTCATGAGCACAACACACATTAGTCTAAAAACCTCACTTCAGAGTTGGGAACTTTAGTATGAGATCTGTATAAAAAAAGGGAATAGTTCAGCATGTGTCATGATAGTACGGTCGCATTGTCATACATTGAGCAAATTTATTCACCCTGTTCGTTGATGCTGAAATTTAACTTATGCTGATGCTTATGCTGAAATATTATGAGAGAAAAATACTGTTCTATGGCTGAAAAGTAGTTTTGAATAAGCTCAAGCAAACAGGGCCATTATCCCTTTAGATCATGGATTTAGTGAATATGCTGCCAATGACACCACCTACACTCCAAATATTATTCAAAGAACAAACATAGAGTATTGGTTAGAGCTGAAATGCCTTGCTTGTAGTGTCAGATCGTCACACAGCCGATGCAGTAACTGTAAGAAACATGATCCATGTAATTCTTGTTCAAAAAAGGATAGTTCAAACAATTAGGACACATGATCTATGCAATTTATCAATCTTCCGTTGTTGTATCTTTTCCCTAAGCTCAAATTCTGTTGAAAACAAAGCTACAAATATTGTACTCGTTTCCAGTTAGTATTGACATGGACAACTAACTGTGTCTTAAACAAATAAAATAGAGTTCATGAAACATGACTCAAAGAATCAGCATTAGGGAGGAAGGAGATAGAAGAAGAAAAAAAAATCTATACCAGGAGGAGATCCAGCAGGGCGCAGCGAGGTGCTGACGTCGTGTGCTGTTCGGCAAATCACGGTCTCAGGGCAGAGGCGCGGATGGACGACGGCACAAACGGGAGGCGGCGCGGAACGACGGCAAAGGAGCCTTGCTTTGCCGTTTTCCCATCTGCCGCCCTTGCCTTGCATTGTCTTTCACTCGGTTGCCGTTGCGGATGCTGATCCTCTCGGATGGGAGCACAAATTAATATGTGATGAGGAAGGGTTCCATGCATGTGTCTATCTTATCAAAATTTTCTGTTTTGCACTCTGAAGCACTTAGTGCTTTCGTACTGAAAATGTCTTCTATTGCTTTGTGAGACTTGTCCATCATTTCTTTCAAACGTTTTTCAGAGGTATGACAATTATGACATGATAACGAAGCAATAAGATCCACGCCTTTCTAGGTTTGTTTGACTGAATTCAAACAAACAAAAAAACTAAACTATGGGCCACATGCTGAATGAATAAATTAAAAAATAGATTCAGAAGGAACAATTACTTAAGTGAGAAGATCGGGAAAGTTAAATTTTCAACCTAGAATGAATGGGTTTGGTTGAAAGTTCCATTTTTTGGATGAAAAGTTAGCCAAAATCCAAAGGGCTAGTATAAAAAGTTCGATTCAAATTTTTTAAGTTGGAGCAAGCATGGGCGTTGAAAGCATGGTAAATTTATACTCCCTCCATCCCAAATTATAAATTATTTCAAAAATCTTAGAAAGTCAAAGGATCTAAAGTTTGACCAAATTTATATGATAAGATAATAACATTTATGATATCAACTAAGTATCATTAGATTTTTTATTAATTATATTTTCATAGTATACATATTCAATATCATAAGTCTTTTTAATTCTCTTTAAAATTTTGGTCAAACTTAAGATGTTTGACTCTCATTCTTGGAATGACTTATGATTTGGAATGTTGGGAGTATTTTAATAGGTGGTCAGCTTGATTCCTTGTTTGAAATAACTAGGTGATTTTCCCACGCGTTGCTGCCGGATTTAAAGAGTAGTTTCAGATGAATTCTTTATCAAGGAAATTTTGCAAAAGCCAAATCGAATGCATTCGGGGGCGGGAACGGCTAAACGGGGAGGCGCGTTGCGTTTCGACTAGGTCGTACTACTCACCGCTTGGTCACTTTGAAGGGTGCTCGATGGAGTGTCTACACTGACAGGACAACTCCTACAGGGCGTCATTGACGGCGCCGTGGCTTGGAGGGAAGCTGGGAATCCGTGGCCGACAACAATGTTGTGGATAATGCTGCTTGCAGTAGGCACATGTTTGAAAACTCAGCTGTAGTCGTAGGACTTCTCTTAGGGGAATGAAAACTCATCGTTGTGAGTACCTTGACAATAGGATGACTAATCCAGTTCTATAGAATAGAGGGAAATCAAATATGACATAAAACATTGAGAAATACGTACCAGAGTAAGAAGTTGTGCATTCTTTCTCCTTTCAAATTCTTCTGACAATGCATTTTGGACTATAATAAATATGAATTTGCAGCACAAATAAAAATTTATAATTAAGATTGTTATCTCAATAGAACTAAAAAAGGATGCACATAGACTGTGAACCACATAGTAGAAGAAATATATTTGTAATTTCACCTAAGAACTGAAGAAATATAGATGTGACTTAAAGAAAACCTAAAAGAGTACGTACATACCTTTTGGGAGGAAGAGGAACTGCCAAATTCTTACCTCGTCGCTGACTAACAGTTAGGGGCTATGTATGTGTGGCAGAACCGTTTAATCTAATGCCTTCTAGGAGTGCTCGTCTTTCATTAGACACTAAGCATTCAAGGAGGACACCAAATTACTCGGTTCCGTCGAGCACACCCCAGGAGAGAAACCGAAAATCCACATTTTTGCCATTAGGATCACAAATGAGAGGATAAAGCTTACATCATTCTTAACCATTTCTTACATCGCTTTACATGTACATCAGAGTATAACATTCATTGTTATAACAGCGGAATAAAATCATATTATCATAGTTATTAACAATTTACTGGGACAACGGAATATAAACATGTGATCAGAATTACAGCGGAAATAACATATATTAATGACATGATGAAGTATTGATATATAAACTACGACAACAAATTATGAAACTTTCATTTATAAAAGCATTTGGTGAGAGTTATAAATAACAACTACGATCGCAGCGTAAAGGAACCCTCGTTGAGCCCACCAGGACATATCCACACACAAGGGTCAGCTCTAGCATCCACCTGTCACCTGCAACAGGGAAAATAAAACCCTGAGTACTCAATTGTACTCAGCAAGACTTACCGGACAGGAGGAAAGAAAAGACTCCAAGGATATGCAAGGCTATTTGGCTTGTGGGTTTATTACATTTGTAGGAAGCATTACTAAGTGTGCGTCCTTATATTCGATTTTTATTAAACTGCCACATTGGTTCATTAACTAACCATTCTATGTAAGCACCTGTGCTACTTTCAAGCATGTGGTAAGCAATCATAGTTCCTTTTTTCGTCTTTCATCTTTTAGTTCTTACTACGGTGCTAGGCCGTAGACAAGTCGTACCAGATTTTCCGGCGATTTGGGAATCAATGCCCCTAGCTGAGTACCCCGAAAACACACGCCCCGCTTATACCCAAGGCACAAGCAGGACTAACCCATCCCCCTCCTGTCCTGGGTGTCTAAGTCCCCGTCCAAACTGGGACTCCAAGCCCCCGCCCCTAAGTCCTGGACTCAGTGCGGTGCAAGGGCCTCCTAACCCAAAAGAAACAAACCACCAAGACAGTCGGTCCGGAAAGAGTCGGATCCACGACAAGAGGGCAACAAGTCTTTCAAGCGCCCATACCCAAATATGTGCTTGGGATAATAAGTCTGTGACTTGCCTAGAGTCTTATGCAACGGCCGGTCCTTAATCAACACAGACAGGGAAAGCAGTGTAACCGAGCCATGCCCCGCGTCTACGGCGACACAACCTCTTACACCCACCAATACCCAAACCATATCCTTGCCCGGTCACCATTTTTCCTTTCTACCATTTTATATATTCCAAGTGATAATCATATAGTAATATATTTCCTATATCTCGCGAGTGACAGGTAATCACTCGACTTCTACCGGAGTCCTATAGCATAGCAATCTACACGATCCTGCCATACTAGTAAGACTCATAGGATAAAGATATGTATATGCAAGTGGATTTCATTCAACTCCTTAAAACTTAATGCACAAATATAATTTAAACTGCAGAAAATAGGGGTTATGCACCGGGGCTTGCCTGGGTAAGATATATATTAAAAAGTTAGTATCTTCATCGTCAGATCATCCACCATCATTTGAATAGAAAGCCCATTGCATCATCTCCTGGAGAGAATACCATTACACCATCTTCGGATTCCCAAGCATCCTTCAATTGATTCGTTGCTCCACCATCGTACCTATATGATATGCATTGATGCAAATGCATAGATGTAAATAATCAACGACAGCCGAAATGCTTAGAAACCTGATCACGCCTCACACGCTAACGAACTCGCTCTAACGACGTACATACTTAGGCTACATATCCATGTTGTCGGATAAGACGCTA